GTTGCAGATTCCAAATACGTTTGCTAATTCCGCCGGAGATTTGGTGGAATCAAACAACTGCTTGAATCAAAAAATCTGAGAGAGGGTCACATAGAAAATTAGGCTGGCGACTCCTCAGCCCACTATAAGGCTTTACCCCTGAACAAACCAACCATAAATGAAATTTTTACTGAATTATTACAAAAAGTCTCTGGGGAACGATTAAAAGCTAACTGGCATAATAATAAAAAATTACGGCATGTACCTGGTTCACCAGAAAAGGTTTCGGGTTGAGGAGATTCGACGACCCGGAAACCGAACCCAGGTGGAGGAACCGGAAGTGATGACTGGGATGGGACTGCGGAAGTGGCGGTAGACGGAGGTGTAGTACGGATCGCATCATTCATCTGGCGAAGCACGGAGTCAAGCTGAAAAAGACGCTGATTAGTGGCGGATAATTGGTCAAGGACGGCTTCTATGGATCTTTCGTGTTTGGCAAGAGTGTTAGCGACGGCTGGCGGAAGTGATTCTTCCATGGGGGTGGACTTTTGGCCAGTTGATTCTGACATGTTGGGAATATATTTAACCCAGGACATGAAAGAATCACAAGCGGAGATGAGGGTGAGTAAAGTTACAAATAAATTTATTAAAGAACGTACTGTAAACATAAAGCTCTGCTCCAAACGAGAACAGGAAGGACTGAGATCTAGAACGAAAGAACAAACGGGAATTAAAATCACAGCAATCAAACCCTGGAACCAGAGAACCAAAACAGGAATGGCTTTGGAGAGTTTTCTCTTACTGGGAGAGTTAAAATCCTTGGTGAGGCTGGGCTGGGTAGTTGAAGCCAAGCGGAGACAGACAGGACACAGAGGCTGAGGATCCAGGCTGAGATGAGTGAACAGGTTGTGTGGCAGATAGGGAGGCAGGTACTGCTGTAGATCTGGAGGAGGTTGGTAGGCAGGCTGGTAACGGGTAGGGTGACAGGCGAGCGGCAGAGAGCGAGGAGACCAAGGGACAGTGAGCGACGTGATGTAGAATGAACAACTCCAGGCGGCGGTGAGTAATCCTGAGTGACAGATGAGTAGAATGTTTCCAAATACAAGACCAGGGCTGACAGGAACGGACTGACTAGAATACACACAGAATATCAAAAACTAAACTTGAGACAGACTAGTGTTACCCAAGATGCGAGTATCAACCGGCACTGGAGTTGTGTCTAGGGCTGGGGGTAAACGATTATTTTTAAAACGATTATTCTGACGATTATTTTATCGAATATTCGACTATTCTAATGACTATTTCGAAAATTAATCTAATGATTATTTTTCTATTGCACAATTAACAAAAACCAGAAAATCTCAAATAAATTCCTCAAAAAAATTGATAAATTCTTACTGTAAGAGAATAAACACTACAGGCCTTCCATTTTGTATAACACTGCTTTTACTGTGTTGCGGTTGGTTATGTTCTGGTGACGTGTAGAACTTGGGAGTGCAGGCTGCTGCCTGAGAGGTGGTAGAAGATGGAGTGTCTCCATGCTGCTTTGTTTTGGTCACTTATGTGCGTGAGGCGAGTGGTCTTACGGGTTAAACCAAACTCAGGTGATATTTTACACTAAACCGAAAACCCACAACACTCTAAATGTAATAAAAGGGAGATCTACACCACAAAAAAGATGAACTCTAAACCAAAACGTAACAGCTTATCCAAACGCAAGAAGTTGTTAGCGAAGATGCTAACAGTAGCTTTACCAACGTTAAGTTCAAGTTACCAAGTTTAAATAAACCAAAAACACCCAGCAGCAAACAGACCAGCAAGGAGGAGAGACTGCTACCACCAAAACAGCTCTCCTCATGTCTGAAAGAAGCTCCTTTATGAAGGGAGAAGCGCTCCCGGTGATTTTCTACATCTGCGATAGACACGAAGCAGCGCATCTGACCCCGGAAGTTGTTGTCCGTTGCCGGGAGATGAAGGCGGGCAAAACAGGAAAGGAACCTAGTAGCGGACGGACGTTGTTCCGGGTCTTCGGTATTTGGCGGAGATGTTAGTGAAGGCGGAGAAGAGGGCAAACTAGAGGAAAAACAGGCAGATTCCTCCTCTATTTACAAACTCCTGGGGATGCAACAAGTGGGCGCGGTGCGTCGACTACCGGATCTGACGTCGACAAATTTTTAGAATCGAGCCACTTCGTCGAGGCTTCGCTACAGCCCTAGTTGTGTCACACCGCTCCTTAAGTACCCCGGTCCTCTGATCAGGGAGATCAGGAGCAGCTGGCTCTCCGACACGCTCACCTGAAACACAAACTGGAAACAATTGTTGTGCATTATGTGAGCTGATTAGTGAGCGGGGCAGATTGTGACAGAGCTGGGTCAAAAGTCACGCCAAGTAGTAGTCTAGTATGCTGCAACCTGATGGGTTATAATGAAAAAAGGTTATAATGAAAGAAGGAAACTTTTTTATCGAAGTTTTATCAACCCATTTTTTTTCTATCGCACCACATGTCTTATCAATAGATATATTGAACTATTGAATTATCGTCCAGCCTTAGCCTCAATAACAGAATAGGCTTTCGTGAAAATGACAGCATCGTCTGCGGATAACACAGTGTTATGATTTTGGCAAACATCTGGCAGATCAATAATGTACAGTGAGAATAAAACAGGTCCAAGAATCTCTAATATCAGGTGAAGCAGGCTAGAGGCTAACATTTAGCTAACAATTCTAACGGTGAATTAGAAGCAAATAGCCTGCTCTAAAAATATCTCAAGCTACTTTTTAAATTACCAACAACTCAATTTTACTATGAAATATGTGTGTGAAGGGAATAATGAGTCAATTGTGGTGTTTTAATTCCTTCAATGTGTAATGGTTTAATTTACATGTTAATTAATGAACCATGAGACATGAGATTCCATAGAAAATATGGAATCAACCTTATGGATCTGTGGGTACTTTTTAACCAGAAGATTGGAACTTTTTATTGCAGGGATTATGTAACCACTTTGTACTAACTCAGAGACAACAGAAGAGAAAGTCAAGTTTTAAAAGTTTAAAGATGTATTACTAAACAAATTAAAACTAGACTAACTTTAACACTAAATGTATGGTGTTACTAGGGTGAAATGAGACGGAGAATGGTGTTGTGTGGAATGTTGTTCAGAACCAGCAAATCCGAAGAAACGATTAGTTCTGGTGGGAGTGAAGGTGATGTCTTCACGCTAAGCTTTGATTAGGAGATTCATAAACACATTCGATGCCATTCTTTCGGTCTACGTACCCTGGTGGAAGCCCCGTCTAGATCAGGAGGTGTAGGGGCCCAGCTTGGACCTTTCTGGAGCCGAAGCTTGTAAAACAGCAGCGGCAGCCGACCAGTCCAGTCTTTGAGATACTTCTGGGTCACGACAGTTTATCGGCATCTAACAGATGCAGATGTGACAATGTATCTATCTACTTATCAACTTGCTGAATTTGGCTCGTCTTCACTTGTAATCTAGAATGTTCTGATGCTGATCCTTATCTGGCAACAGCCATGAAACTGACAGAACGGGAGTGAGAAAGTCACCTCTTGTTTAAAAAAATGGACTGCTGTGCCCAGATTTGATCACAGGATGTCGTTCATTAGCCTGGCCTGCCAGACTCCTCCTCTGTTTAATTCTGCACAGAGAAATAGTCTGGTGACTCACAGGCAGAGAGGCACATGAGGGGTGGGGCTAGGCAGCTCAAAATTAACCAATCAGAAAAAAGACGGAAATACTGACTGTACCTTGTAACTCTGTAATTTTTTAGCTGTAGTCAAGAATGGCGTCTGGCAACGGCGCAAACATCTTTTGTTTTTTAGAAGAAATTGGTTTTGCGCTTCTACTTGTGGTTTTAAAGACATTCAAGTAATTTAGAACAGAGGAAAGAGCCGCAGCGAACTCTGCTTCAGTCGCCATGTTCATGACAAACTCGGTGTTGTGGTGTGTAACGTACGCTACTCAGCGCTGATTGGCTCGGTTAGAATTCTCACAGGGTGGGGTTATTTGAATAGGAGAGTTCCCAGACCTGTTCTCTGTGCAGAATTAAACAGAGGAGAAGTCTGGCAGGCGAGGCTAGTCGTTCATACTTCATTCTTACATATTGGACCTTTAAATATGGTTTAACACAGAAAAACAATTCCATTTAAACAACTAAAACAAACTTTTTAAATTCTTCACACATAAATAAATATCAGCGATAAAGAAAGCAAAACATTCCATTTTTGTCTTTAAAACATTAAACAAACATCTGGCAGTTGTTGTTAAAGATGTAAATTCTTTGTATTATATAACAAATATATAACATTATAAAAATAATTTACTAAAACATCATTCTGATACCTTTAATTAGCAAAAGATGTGCAAAACATCTGGTTTTACTGATTTTTTTCACAAATATATTGAAAAATGATGCTTTTCTGGGAGAAATTCCTCAGTATGTCACAAAGTCCCATAAATAAAGAAGTGAGCTAACAGAGATAGTGCCTACAAAGTAAAAAACCCTTTAGTAAAAACTGGAGACACTTTTGTCTGATTCTCATGCTGAGATTGTAGGAAAATGCAGATGGTCAGACACTCACATAGAAATGATGATTTTACGGTTCCAGACTTTCGTCAGCATCAGCCTCATGTGGAAAAAAACATTTGTCTTCCCTGAACTCTATCTACGTTCCCTCGACACGCCTGACAGGATTAGTAAATATGATTAATAATGATTAAAAGAGCAGATTGAACAGCTGTTTTAAAGACAAATGAATAAAACCATCAGACTTTGCTGCATTCTTTTCAAGTTTTTCAGATGACTACAAACAGTGATTGCCTCATACCAGGTATTAATATGTTTAGTTCTCTAACAGGACATTTAATCTGTCCTTCAAAGTAATGTATCAGGCTGTTATCAGCGACAGGTTAGGGTGGGGTAATTAATAAACACTGAGTCTTCTGGGTCATGCAGGTAAACCTGTGGAATCCAGGCTCTGTCATTGGATTTTTGTGTTTCAGCACGGCCACAGCCACTTCGGCCCGGTAGAACCACCTCAGGAGAACTATGTCCAGAATGGAGACCTGTGGGCAAAGAAAGACTCTGTAGTTCTGACCAGCATCAACACCATCACCACCGATAGGAGTGGCTCGAATCTTGAGCTCTCACGTGAAAGCATGACAGCTTCCCAGGTACCATCTCACCTTCAAGCCTTTATCTGTGTTTAGGTATCACGTGGGAGTAATTCACCGAGCGTTTTTCACCGATGAGACAGATCCTGGCAACATCTTTAGAAGAGGAATGTGGTTAGCAAAGCTTTGAAAGGCTGAATAACCTGACGCCCGGTGGACACAGAGATCATACAGTGAAGTGAAGCTGCTGGCCTCCATCCCCTCTCAGTAAATGCTGCCATTGTCAGACTCGGACACAAAGACCCCCTGTGTGTCTGTGGCTTGTCAAAAACTCTGTTGGCCACCAAATGCCAGGGGCTCTGCCTGCTCTCAGATTTTATATTTACCCTAACCCCAGCAATTCAAATAATAACAGCTTTGTTGCAAAACAATATTTTCCTTTAGATGTTTCCTGACTTCAGTAACTGTTTCATGCAGTGCACTGGGACGCAGGTCGTATCTTTAGTTCTAGCAGCACGTGGGATGATTTGGATCACATTAGTCCGGGTGTTGTAGCTGCTCCCCCTGTGAGCTCTCCTTTCTACAGAAGTTTGCATCTATACAGGCATTCTCATTTAGCCCTGTTTTTGAACTTTGCTGTAATCCTGCTGCTCTCTCAGCCAAGGCCACATTAAACATGCTGCACAATAGTTTGTTCTCGAAAATTGGACCAAGAGATTCCAACATGTTAGAAAGTTTGGATTTATAGTTAAGAGTGGTTGTGGCATGCTTCTGAGCAGACTTGAGTGCTCTTAACACCACACATGGCAGGAATACCTAAGATAAGATAAAACTTTATTAATCATTTACATGGAAAATTGTCTTTCTGTACCGTATCAACAGTCATAAAAACCTGTGAAAAAACTGAGAGGACCAAAGACCAATGAAGGATATTGTGTGGCTGTGTTTGTTGACTTGGCTAAAGCCTTTGACTCTGTAGACCAGTGGTTCCCAAACTTATTTAGCTGCGCACCCCCTTCTATGTCCCGACCATGTCAACGCACACCCTTGCCCCCACATCAGGACATATATATATATATATATAACATTCAATATCATTACAATTTCTGTTTTCTTCATCCCGCTCCTGCCCGCTGAATTTCTGACCATTACGGCCCGCAACGTGTGTTACACTCCCGCCCGCACCCGTTGTGTGCATGTCTACTCCCACCCGCAGCTACAAAACTCAGAGAAATTATTACCTCACAATAAAGGAGATGTATTGAGTTTGCGTCCTCTCTGGTCCTGGAGAAAACATGTCATTTTATAGGCTATACCAGGGGTCGGCAACCCGTGGCTCTTCCATCCATCTGATGTGGCTCTCTGTGCTTGTAATATAATGAATGGATATTTTAAATAAATCCTTTATACTTTACTTAATTTTATGTCTGTATGTCAAATCTAAATGTAAAGATTGTCTGCGTAAACCTGAACAGTTCCAACCTGGTCTTACTGAGAGACCGTGTTGACGGGTCACGCTTGTGCGTAATCATACCGGCGTGTTCTGAGCTGAAGAGTGAGATTCTGGGCTTCTCCTCAGACGGCTCCTGGATGTGTCGCCACATTGGAGACAGGAACAAGCACTATTCAGCCCAAGTTTCATAATCAGGGAACATTTTCTAAGTGACAAGTCTCTCTGACAGACGGTTTGGAAAACACTCGCTTCAGTGGGAGGAACCTTCCCGCATGGATCTGGTTCTGCGACACGCTCCAAGCCCCTCTCCACATCTTCAGCTCACTGTGCACCTTACGTACGCGCTGACAGCGAGCTGCGCTGAGCAGTGTCCAGCTCAGATGTTCAGATGGGAATCTTTTCTTGGGTGATTTAGCTACATCTGCGATTTGCGTAACGAATAAAATGTCAGTTCGTCTGCATGCGTCGGGGTAATTCTTTCTATTCTTCCTCCGTCAAGATAAACGATCAAATACGGGAACTATCCGGTCCACACAACACAAGCCCTGCTTTTAACTGTTTTTCCGTGACTGTAAATGAGAGAAAAACAAATTGATCGGATCCTGCATGTCTTTTAACACATTGGTCAGGATTGACGCACTTTGCTTTCATTTAGTTTTTAACCCTTTAACGCCGATGCGTCACCAGGATCACCGGTGACGCATCGGCGCATGTAATTTCAAATAACTCCTCGCTACTTAAACTATAAAATTCTTTTAAAATACACAAAGGAGCTACTGTGTGGTGCTTAAAGGGGTAATGAAATCAAGGCCGTTTCATATTCTATTCTCTGTAATCAGGCAGTGATCGAGGTCACTAAGAGAGACCTGATTGGAGAAACTCCTCCAAATGTCTGACTTGCCTTGCTTTGGTTTTTGTGTCATGAAGACCTTGTTTCAGCTTCTTTTCAACATCAGTTGTCGACTCCATCATACTCATCCCGATCCCGCACTTTTTCTTTTAGCCGACCGTTCCCGCCCGCAGCAAAGTTCACACCGCCCGGCCCCGCAAGATTTGTGTTGGGTCCCAATCCCGATGCAGCCCTCTAAGCTTGGGCACATGCAGAGGACACACACACGCGCGCGCGCGCTGCTATTGACAGCGTGCGCAGGCCGAGCGCTGAAGCTAGGGCACATGCGGAGGACACACACACACACATGCAAAATATACTTGTTTTCAATTACATTTATTGGTCCCACTTACATTTTCTTCGGCCCACCCACAAATGAGTTTCTGGCTACGCTAATGGTGACATATGACAGACTTCTTTGAGCTCCTCAGCCATTACACTTTTCATCTCGCGCACCCCCTAGCGGCAGCTCGCGCGCACCACACTTAGGGAATCCCTGCTGTAGACTATAACATCTTACTTAGCAGGACCAAACATGTAGGACTTTCTCAGGCATCCGTGGCATGGTTTGGAAGTTGTACTGCATCTTAGGCTGTACGCAAACAGTGAGAACAGAGGGTTACCAATCTGCTCCTCTACTTCTATCTATGGGCGTTCCTCAAGGATCGACACTGGGCCCAACCTTATTCAAAATCTATATTAAAAACATTGTTCATGCTGTTGACAGTTCTCATATATATTTATATGCCGACGACACCATTTTATATGCATGTAGGTCTTCCTTGAGTGCAGCTTTGTCCTCCTTGCAGCACAACTTTAATTGTCTTCAACATGCCTTCTCCAACCTTCGTCTTCATGTAAACACAAGTAAAATAAAGTTCATAACTGCATTGCTGGTTCTTTTTTAAAACACAGAAAAGGTTTCTTTTTACCTTGCTGACAGTTTTGTTCATGGCTGCAAACCTCCTCAGAGCTGATGCTGATGGTGGCGTCACTTCCTACTCCGTTTATCCGTGGGCAGCAGAGGACGTTGTCGCCCTCTACTGCCCGCTCTTCCCTCACCAATGATGCAGTCCTATGCACGATCCAATGTGTAAACCCCATCATCTCTGTTCATGGAAGTGACGCCACCATCAGCGTCAGCTCTGAGGAAGTTTGCAGCCACGAACGAAACTGTCAGCAAGGTAAAAAGAAACCTTTTCTGTGTTTTAAAAAAGAACCAACAATGCAGTTAGAAAAGCAACACAGCAAGAATATACCAAAGATGTATAAACAAAGTTCATGATCTTCAACCGTAACTTGCCACCCTAGTATTGTTTCCCTGGATGGTACAGAACTACAACTTGTCAGTTTCTATAAGTATTTGGGTATCTGGCTTGACAGCACACTTTCATTTGGCATTCACATTAATTCATTACTTTCTTAAGTCAAGTCAAGAATTGGGTTTCTATGTTGCAAGCCCCCGCGTGCTGCAATGAACGGATGTCACGATGAAGGAAGATGTGAGCGGAGGGCTGCTGATGCGAGTGGAATCGAGGCAGGAGAACACAAGAAGCGGACCAAAAAATGGGATCATCAAGAGGATATGAAAGCTTCTGTGGGGAAGTAAAAACTTTGAATGAACCTGAAACCATCTTGCTAAGTATAATGACAACATTGTTTTGCTATTTGTGATTTGCTGATACATGCAAAATGATTCGCAATGCAAACTGCTTCGCCATACAAAATGCTTCGCTATGCAGATAAGATTGGCTGTACAAAGGAAGGGTATATAAGAAGACTGTTAATGAGGAAGAGCAAAAGAAAAGAAGAAGAAGAAGAGGAAGCATCTCCTTTCAACGGAGAGATTTAGATAGAGAAGCATCCTCAAAAGGGGATTTATAGCTTTTAACTTATGCTTTTGCATTTTTATACTTTTGAAATAAAGTTTTTGAAAAAGAATCCTCTTTCTCAGTTTTTTAAAGGACTCTTTTTTAGCATAAGAGTAGGAGCCTCAACCAAACCCTGCAACAAAGGTAAGCCACCTTCTTACTCACACCTGAGCTTCAGGACTTGTATCAGGTTGTGACAGATGAGAAAAGATACCTTAGGTATGAGAGTTTAGCCTCTCCTCCCCCTATGGTAGTGGGACATCCTAAGGGTAATAAGCCATAAATGGTTAGTTTGTTCAAACGGGCTCTGTTCTGCACGTGTGAAAAAATTTCTGTCCGGAGTCCGGAGGTAGGAACAAAAGGTCTACCTCGCAGAAACTAGCTCGGCTCTTGCGAAAAGGTCACAGTGAGCACGCACATTACACAGGGTATCAGAATTATGTAATCCCCATGAATAGTACATATTTCAACTGGACCTTCTTCAGCCTACACAATGAGGTGGGCCTTCAGCCACAAGGCTGGGAACTACATAAGATATGGCACACCCTCTATACCGAATGGGTCTATCAGGTTCCTAACTTCAAACATCCAGAGGTGGCGCAGTGGATGAAAAAGAATCAATCTGCTCCCACTAACCTAGACACAGGGTTCCATGCCTGGAACGAAGAAACTAGGAAGTGCTTAACTAAAAGGGCTAACGATAGTGCCTTATGGCAAGGAGGGGAGCCGCTCAGACTAAGAATAGCAGGGGCATATTACCAAAAGGGGACAGCCACCCCTGATGACAAAATTGAGGCAGACTCCATTTTCGAAGCAGTAAATGAAATGATTAGGCCAAGCCATAAGA